TTTTTTGGGGTTTCAGGCGTGCAGAGCCCTCCAGCGCTCCAGGGGTCCCCGGGACGGGACGTATTTGACGCCGCAGCCGTCGGGGATCAAACGTTTCTGAGCCACCATCTCCTCGAAAGCGTCGGCGTTGAACTTGGTGAAGCCCCATTTCTTGGAGATGTGGATCTGGGGAACCCCAAAAATCGGTCAGGAAATCCCAAAAAATACCCAGAAAAAATTTGGGGTCCCCAAAATTCCTCATCCCAATTATTGGAAGGTTTTTGGCCCCAAAACCTCAAAATTTGGCCCCTTTAAACCCCTCCTCAATTTGGTGAACCCCCATTTCTTGGAGATTTGGATCTGGGGATCCCAAAAATCAGCAGGGGGACCCCAAAAAATACCCCCGAAAAAATTTTTGGGGTCCCCAGACCCCCTCAAAACCTTCTGACGCCTCAAAACCCAAAATTAAGTTTTTCCTCCCCCAACCCCACAGATTTTGGACCACCCCAGCCCCCAATTTCCCCCAAATCCTCCCCAAATTTTTGGGGTTCCCCTAAACCATTTCAGGGCTCCCCTAAATAATTTTGGGGTTTCCTAAAAGGATTTTGGGGTGCCCAAACCCCCTTCAAAAAACCCGAAAATCCCCAATTTCCTTCCCTGAACCCCACAGATTTTGACCCACCCCAGCCCCCAATTTCCCCAAATTTTCCCCCAAATTTTTGGGGTGTCCCAGGATAATTTTGGGGTGTCCCAGGATATTTTGGGGTATCCCAGGATATTCTGGGGTGTCCCAGGATAATTTCGGGGTGTCCCAGGATAATTTTGGGGTGTCCCAGTATAATTTTGGGTATCCCACAATAATTTTGGGGTATCCCAGGATATTTCGGGGTATCCCACGATAATTTTGGGGTATCCCAGGATATTTTGGGGTGTCCCAGGATATTTTGGGGTGTCCCGGGATATTTTAGGGGTGTCCCGGGATATTTTAGGGGTGTCCCGGGATATTTTAGGGGTGTCCCAGGATAATTTTGGGGTATCCCAGGATAATATTGGGGTATCCCAGGATAATTCTGGGATGGCCCAGAATGATTTTGGGGTTCCCCAGGATATTTTGGGGTGTCCCGGGATAATTTTGGGGTATCCCAGGATAATTTTGGGATGTCCCAGGATATTTTGGGGTATCCCGGGATAATTTTGGGGTCTCCCAGGATAATTTTTGGGTATCCCAGGATATTTTGGGGTATCCCACAGTAATTTTGGGGCGTCCCAGGATAATTTTGGGATCTCCCAGGATATTTTGGGGTGCCCCAGGATATTTTGGGGTTCCCCAGAATGATTTTGGGGTGTCCCAGAATGATTTTGAGCTTCCCAAACCCATTTCAAAAGCCCCCAAAACCCCCATTTTCCCTCCCCCAACCGCACAGATTTTGACCCACCCCAGCCCCCAAATTCCCCAAATTTTCCGCCAAATTTTTGGGGTGTCCTGGGATAATTTTGGGGTATCCCAGGATAATTTAGGAGTATCCCAGGATATTTTAGGGTGCCCCAGGATAATTTTGCAGTGTCCCAGATTATTTTGGGCTGTCTGAGAATGATTCAGGGGTGTCCCGGGATATTTTGGGGTGTCCCAGGATATTTTGGGATCTCCCAGGATATTTTTGGGTATCCCAGGATATTTTGGGGTATCCCAGTATAATTTTGGGTATCCCACGATAATTTTGGGGTATCCCACGATTATTTTGGGGTGTCCCAGGATATTTTGGGGTATCCCAGGATATTTTGGGGTATCCCAGGATAATTTTGGGGTATCCCAGGATATTTTGGGGTGTCCCAGGATAATTTGGGGTATCCCACGATTATTTTGGGGTGTCCCAGGATATTTTGGGGTATCCCAGGATAATTTTGGGGTGTCCCAGGATAATTTTGGGGTATCCCGGAATAATTTTGGGGTTCCCCAGAATGATTTTGGGGTGTCCCAGAATGATTTTGAGCTTCCCAAACCCCTTTTAAAAGCCCCCAAAAT